AGCATTATATAGTAATTTATTTATTATCTAGATGGCTTTTATTTATTTTTTCTATTATTGTATTTTCTGAAAATTAAATAGACTTTGAGGAATAAATTTAATAAATATAAAATGAACTTTCAGGCTTTGCATCATCACATGATGGCAGCCACGACAGGAGGCASAACATTATGGCATATACCCAGTAAACTGAGTTCTTTCTCATGTAAATCAGATTAGACCAGATTAGATTGTTCCTGCCTCTGGTCATGGCTGCAATAACATGATAGTGCAAAGCCTCTATACTACCTGAATGGCARCCAGAAGCATCCCACATGAAATACACACACTCATTTCATTATAGTAATGGACTTTCTTTTTGCYGTCAGGAGTAAAGCTGTACAGTTGCTTGAAGATCAATATGAGGTATGGTGCAGATATAATGTAAGGTTTAGACCAAGTTGTTCTAAACACTTCGATATCTTTGAGCCATTTTGCACCCATTCTTTTTGCATAGTTTACTTGTTCCTCTTCCTCRACAATTCGGCAAATCTCAGACTTGAGTGTTTTATCAGAGACAACAACATAGATCCATGGCTCGGTGTGAGCTCCGCTTGGCGAAGTACCTTRTATAGGTTTAAAAGATAAAGTTAAGAAATATACCAACTTATATAGCTGGAATATATAAAGACTGGTTTAATACATATATAAAAGAACATTCAAACTTTATCAAGACCTTGTACGACCTCTGTCAGGGCTTGGCTAACTCACAGCAAGGGCGGATCCAGGGGGGGCAAAGGGGGCAAAAACTGAAGGATTAGATGCTTCCTTTATTGTTTTCTGTTGAGTTGATGGAAGAAAATCAAATAGCCCCCCCTAAAATTTTGGCTGGATCCGCCCTTGCACAGATCAAACCTGAAACAACCTCTGAGCTTCAACTAAGTCAGAGCTTGGCTAACTCACAAATGAGACCCTAAAACAACCTACTCACATGCGATGCATTCAGGAGAGCCCAGAGGTGAGAGGCAAGTGCTTTACACCAGCCTTGATTCCACCCCAAAAAATTAAATTTAAAGTTCATSACATTTTAGCATTAAAATTTGCTCCCCTAAAAACCAAACTATAGAGGCTTTGCACCATCAAGTGATGGCAGCCATGACAGGGGGCACAACAATAGAGTCTTTTTCCCCTGGGAAACTGAATCCTTTCTAAAATGTAARATTAGATTAGATCAGAATCAATTGTTCCTGCACCCTGTCATGGCTGCCATCACGTGATGTTTACATCTGATATCATAATGAGAGTCAATAATAAGCGATTGTTAAATATTTAGGGTTTCTCGATAAATGACAATTAAATTAGGTGTAAATTGCTGCCAAAACAGAAAACAAATAGAGAGGAGTGTACAGCTGTATAAGTCAAGAGAGAAATGAATATTCATAAGTCAAAGAAAAAAACAAAAAAACAAAAGCTAGTTCTGAATGTTTGCAGACCTGCAGTGCGAACGATGTCTTGGATTACACCCAAAGGTACTGGGTCAGACGAGATATTTCGGACGGTTCTCCTTTTATTCATACACTCATAAAACTCTCTTGCTCTTTTCTTCATCTCTTCTTCACTAGGAATCTCATCAAAGTAGGGATACGGTATCATTGGAACGTCTGAGTCACCAGTTATATGGACGTCAAGCGGATCGCGTGGAAGTTCATTTTCCTCGTTGAAAGGATCCACATCTACAGTGTARTTCAATGGCTTGGGCTTGGAGATGAATCTTATAAACTCGGTAACAACCACTCCTAGTACGATTGCAGCCAGATATGGCCAGTAAGTGCAGAGAAACGGGGCGCTGAAATCCATTTTTGCATCGATCTTTTTGGTGCTGTTGAACAAATATCACGTGRCCATTCTGAGAAGAATTATAAGCACACATAAGCAATGCAAATCGCGTGACAGTTTTGTACGTACAGGTCACGCTATTTCTTTTCACCTTTGGTGCACATTTTCGCGGGACTTAATTTTCGTGATTGAAACATGAAAAATGACAAAATGAAAGCTACGAGGGAAAAAGGTTACTGCGAAAAATAGGGCGAAAAAAAGTTACTGCAAAAACTAGGGACTCGAAAGTAAATGCGTTCTAATAAAATTTTGGTATTGTTCAATAAAAACATTACGGTAAAAAATTAAAATAGGTTCTTTATTTTTTGCATAATTTTGTTCCCTTTACACAATTTTAAYTATCACATCTTGTTTCAGCGACCATTTAGGAACGGGAGAGAGGTGAAKACATTTTGTCGTTTTAAATTTTTGGGAGGGAGGGGTGAGGAAAAAATTGGGAGGAGAGGCAGAATTACTAGTAATGGGGCGAGGACAAGAAAAGGATTAGGGGAAGAGATGGTGATATAAGATAAACAAGAACGTGCCCCAGGTCTGACTCGACTGTATTCTGTATTTTCTATCCGGCGTGTTAACATTACTTCATCTGATTTTCAAAGTGAAAAAGCTGAAGCCAAGAACGAAAGATTTGGCTACGACAGGTAAGCTTGTCAATTACACGTGAACAGGAAAGCAAGGGCGTGGTCAGTAGGAACCGCGAAATAATTTCTCCGTTAATTAACTCTTGCCCTTGGTTAAAATGTGCTCGTTTAGTAATAGTTAGGTTTAGGTTCAGCGTCATATTATACTCAATAAGCTATGTGCCTTTTATAGAGTGTGCACCATCACGTGTGTTGGCAGCCATGACACGAGGCAGGACAATCGAATCTTGCCATGGTCTATGATCTGATTTACACGAGAAAGAATTAAATTTCTCAGGGGAAAGAGACTCCCGTCGTAGTGCCTTACGTCATGGCTGCCATCACTTGATGGCACAAAATGTAATTATATCATGCGGGATTCCTGTGGATTTGGCGGGGAAATGGTACATCCCCCCCCCCCCCCCTATAATCGAGACCTCGCTACGCCCCTGCGTGATGGTGCAATACTTCGAATTCTATTATTATGTATCTAAAAAATATATTAGTGTGTTCCTACACCAAGTTATCGCCCGAGGAAGTTTCGGGCAAAGAAATACGCCAATACGCATGCGCAGTGCCAGATCTAGGACTTTGAAGAAAACGGGGGCATTATTGATAACTAAGAATATATATGACGAGTTCATCTTTCTCGGGTGCAATTGCGCAAATGCGTTGACAGGTTTTGCTAAGTTTTTGACGATCGCAGAAAAAGATAGTTGCATGGTAGTCTAAATTACTATACTAACTTACAGACGGTCTATATTACTATACTGAGTAGATATCAGAGCTACACTCCGATCCATCGCCCCCAAACAAGCTTCAAGTCGGCGAGGCATCCGGATCAACAATATAGTAAATGTATGGAAACTGACCTAAATGCCTGGACCCTAAAACAACCGCTTGAAGGCAATAGACAAGTTAGACGAGTTGATGCATTTTAGACAAGTTGTTGCAAATAAGAAACAAGTTGCCGCAAATAGGAAATGATTTGAGACAAATAAATAAAAATAAGACATTGCATGTAGTTTTTTWATTAGTACTGACTGATTGACTAACTGACTGTCTGCACAACTGACGCACTGACTTTTTATTGGATTTATTGAAAAACTAAGTTGGTTTTAACTTCATCTCGGTAAACTTAAGGGATAACATATTATTTTTATAGTAATACCATACAACGCCTTTTAAGCTGAGAAAATTTCCAAGATATTTGCCGTTTAAGTTGGAATCATRGCACTTTGTGTACCACCACGCACCAGAGTATTTACGTGCACAAGAAGTAGAACTAGACTCGTCATTATCACGGTCTTTGGTACTAAACGACATACCATTATGATGTAGTGTCAGTGAGTCACCGGCCGAACCAGAATACGACGTCACACTCAACCTGTACTTTGAACCCTCAGAACCAACACTAAAACTACCATATTTGGCATATACTTTCACTCCTTCCCAGTCTTTCAGTTCGACGCGTAGAATTGAGGCTGTTCGTGACGTCAGTCGGTGAATCTTGTCATTACCCAGCCAAAACTCGCCAGTCAGGTTTCCAAAACCTGTTTTGTATTCATCCCATTCACGATAAAAGTCTACGGAGCCATCTTGTCTTCTCTGGAACACAGTCCACCCCCCTCCGTCTGTTGTCATGTCACAGTAGACTTGGAAAGGACCAGTACKGTCAGGATCAATTGTGTACACACCATTCTGTCTTACTCCTGATTTATAGATCTCTGAACAATCTGCAGCTAAACAAATATGGGAGCTATATCAAACAGCGCTTTTTTATATGCTTGCGGTGAGTAATGATTTTTTATATGTGATAATGTAATACCTGGCGTTATGACTTGCAATTGAGTGTCAGCTTTCTGTTTAAATATACCAATCGTTGTAGCAGTACATATATACACCCCAGAATCTTCTATCTCTACACGTCGGATGGTCAGCGTTTCTCCTCTCACCTCTGACCTCCCTCCTGATGGTAGAGTACCATTCACTTTTCTCCACGAGATGACAGGCTTCAGGGTCCCTTTTGTACTGCAACTCAAGGAAAATGTTTCCCTTTCATATTTGGTTACATTTTTGGGTGATTTTGGGACAAACTTGGGTAGAACCACAACCATAAGCTGTATATTTCTCTTTGAAGATCCAAGAAGATTTCTAGCCCTACAGAAGTAAATATCCGAGTCTTGTTGCTTTAAGTTGAGAATGGAAAGCTGTCCCCCATTGGATATCGTGCGACTTTGGTCTAATTCCCCGGCAGCTCTTGACCACATGATGGTAGGGACAGGAGAGCCGGTCACGTGACATCTTGGTAGAGTGACGTTGTCCCCTTCTTTTGCAAAGAGAGGAACGGTCTTCATCGAGACACGGGGACGAACTAAAGAACCATAATTTAACATCACTTCAAGGAAAAAAGAAGCAAAATAAGCGTGATTTACTACTTACAGTTAACAGTTAGGCGGACAGTTTTTCGTGCCGTGCCAAGTAGGTTTCTAGCATGACATTTGTACGATCCCGTGTCACTGGGAGTGACGTTTGAAATCACCAGCTTATCATCACCGGTCAACTGGGAACTGATACCTACTTTACTCCAACCAATCTCAGGCGTAGGATAACCGCTGGACGAGCAGTGGAAGACTGCCGTCTGACCTTCATTGACAACCAATGAAGGAGGAGAAATGATGACGTCAGGTGACGATACAGATAGGCCTGGTTCCCCTTTTGATCCCGGCATCCCTCGAGGCCCTTGAAGTCCTCTATTGCCCTTCTTCCCCTTTGCACCAGGTGGACCCATAATTCCTTTCTTTCCTGGTATTCCCATCTCTCCCTTCGGTCCTCTCTTTCCTCTACGACCCCTTGGACCTGGCCTTCCAGGTGGCCCGGGAGGGCCTGCACGACATTTCCTGTCTGTAACTATGGTGGCACAGAGACGTGAGTGTAGCTTTTGGAGTTCTTCCAGGTCGCTTGGTCTCGATGCGTTACGACGAGTACGGACTCTAGAAGTGTCTAGCTTTGCTGTATTTACTAATCATAAGAAAAGACGGTTAAACAACCAAAGAAATAACAATATATGATGACAATAGATTAAAAAATGCAATTGTGCTATATCACATGCTACTATATGGTATATGCTGTCATATACAACGATCCACGATTGTGATGTATATAGCGATGTTTACGTTGAGGTCACCTATTGATATAAATATACCAATCAGAGATCTATTGGCTACTGAAATAAAGAGATCTTTTGTTTTAATGGTTGGCAAATTTGAATGAGAAAAGATTCCTGACGGCGATGTTCGTGAACCGTGAATATCGCTATTAATGGTGTAATAGTAGCTCACCATTTAGGGCCTGTTTTGTCGTGTCTTCTTCTCGTTGTTGTCTGTTGCTCCGTACTTTAGATTCAAGGTCTCGTATTCTTGTCACGTGTTCCTTCAAGACCAACTCAACTCTGATAAATTCTCCCAAACACAACAGCACAACAATAAACGATACTGTCACACTGGATGACGGCCATGAAGTACGCTTACTATCTCCCATCTTAGAGCTAAGGAATCTTGACCGCCCCTTGTTGAACCCGAGTCACAGTTACTGAATACGCAGTAACTTAAGACTGTTATCTAGTTCCTTGTTTGGAAGGTGATATGATAGGGTTTAGCTGTGTATCCTGTTGAATTAGGGCAATCATAGGTAGGCGAACTAAGGAATCTTCCAACAAAAAAAACAAAACAAATAGGGCATACACTTAGGCGCTTTTAGACGATATAAGACGGTCGAAGACGTTCTCATACAATATAAGGTGATCTGATGCAGGATGAGGACCCATAGTAGGCCTATCTTGGCTTGATTCACTCCTTGTCCAACCTCGTACCCAGAGCTCTTATTTCTTACTACGCATGCTCTGGGTACGAGATTGCTTCCTGTCAAATTTGCCGTAAATCATGATAAATATTAAAATATTGTATATATGTAATATTAACTGAATTTTCAGTTTCATTGCATTATATCTTGGTTGTTAACGATTATGAACGTTTAAATTTAAGGAGGAAGAAAGTTCTAGAAATTCATGGATAGCAAAGCTGGCAGCTTTGTAGCACTGTCTCTTCTCAGGTGCCATGTTGAAGGTACGTAAAATTATTGCTCAGAGAGTTTGAAAAGTGTAATTAAATATGTCCAGGACGATTCTATTGCTGTAAGATATAGTCTATGCATACGTCTGTGTGCTTTTTAACTTCAGTAATGCTTCAGAATTTTTTTAGTTGAGTCAATGATCAATGAATGAAAGATTCATAATTTATGAAAATCCCTTTTGAGTAAATATTTGGAGGAAAATAAACATATTCTAGACCACCAAGTTATCAAGAAGGGAAAATAATGGTTTTATTGGGTCCCGCCGGATAGAGGGAGGTAGGGTGGGTGGAGAAACCCATGTTTTAAAGAGCTTTTTGAATAGCGAGTGGAGTGGGCATTTTTTAAATGATTTCCCTCCACACCAGAAATGGTAAAATATTTCAAGCTGGAAAGCTGGCTAAGAGAACTTTTTATTTTCTTTTTTATGTTTCCGGGTTTGCTTTTAGACTTATGTCTAACGTTGATTGACAGCTATGCCACGGGAAAAAACTAAGATTACCCACAGTTTTTTGCATGAGAAAGCGAATTAAATGTTGTAAATGAGCTGCAGCCAATCATGTGAAAAACACTTATGCAAACAGAACATTATTCAACTAAAACATAATATTTTTACTTGATAAAAATTTTAGTCATGAAGTTCGTAAAATTTGTTCGTAAAATATTTTGTTCACGTGATTAACCACAATCCATTTCGAGCATTAAGCAGGGGGGGGGGGGAGATTGGTGGGTAGATATTAGATCAGTGTGTGGCTTGTTTAGTGGGCTTTCTTGGCAGCTTCCTTCAACTGCTCTTCAGTGAACTGTCTTGGATTTTCGTCAACTTGCTTGGGTCCAAACAGAGGGACATTTGGGTCCTTTTTGTTAGCCTACGAGAAAAATGGGACAATAGTTGTTACTGTGCTCTTGTTTTCCACGATTTATTTTTCTAAATGCAAAATCCCTTACTTACCACTCGAGAGAGAGCCTGCAGACATGTTATGACCTTGAAGAAAAAGCAGAGAAAATAAGACGCGAGAAACAAGAAAAAACGATTTTCCCATTCATTTTCCAATCCGAGACCAACTCGTTCTGCGTGGAATTAAGGGAACAAAGCTTAAAAAGACTGCACCATATTTGCTACACTCCTACAATTCTTGGGGTGCAACTAAAAATCCCTCGAGATATAAATAACAATGAAACAGCCGCCATCTTAATTTATCTACTAAAAGAAAGGTAATGAGGAATATTTTTTTAGCGTCAACCAACATTGCGGCCATGACGTAATATAACATGCTCCCCAAGAATAGAGCACGGCACGTGATGGTGCAAAAGCTCTATTCCATTGGTGCAATGGTTATAACCAGTCTTGCTCTAAATTTTGGCGGGAACTGATCGAGTCGATTTTCTTACCTGACCAACGTTCTGCCTCTCGTACAAGTCCACGGTCTGGAAGATGTGTATCCTATCCACTCCAAATTGTTCACAAGCTGACAGGAAATTAGAGATATTTTCTTGCATCTGGATAAAAAAAAGAAAATAAGGTTAAAAAAGAAAAAAAATATTCAAGGGATTGAGACAGCAACCGCACACTGTTGAATTCTTTTATCGCGGACTCATATCAGAAAGAAAAAATAATTACAGACATCAACGATACTTCGAAAATTCCTTTGATATTTAATGAACTAATACTAATAAGAAAAAGGAGTTTAACAACGAAATATTGCACTACCTGGAAAGATTTTGGGCTCTCGTGAATTTTCTTCACTGCTCCAGGTTTGAACGAGTTCACAATCCTGTGAATAATCGTATGAAATGTTAGAGGACTTGACCGCGCACATGCGCATCCTTTAGATAAACGGCCAATCTCGTACCGAGAGCCTGCGGCAAAGAACGAGGGCTCTGGCATCTATTTTTTGAGACCAGGATTTCTTGGACTTCCGGTACTGACGGCGCACGCGTTCAAAGACTTGCCAAAAATTAAAAATATTTTTTCCCCGATTTTCAATTTATACTATGATTTTGACTTTGATTTTGACTTTGATTTTGACTTTGATTTTGACTTTGATTATTTTGATCGGTTATATCTAACTTTCCGAAAATTGCGCATGCGCCAAAACGCCCGCAGGCCAGAAGAAACGCAGGCTCTGGGTACGAGATTGAGAAACGGCGGCCTGTAAATTAAATCTTACTTGCAGAGGATTATCCCGTCCTGCAGAGGCTTAGCAAAAGCGTCTCCTGGTCTGGCGTCTTCCTCGCCCCAGGCTACTTTCTGACCGTAGACCGCCTCGACCCAGGTTTTCGCGCCATCTTCAAGCTCTTTGGGGTACTTAGCAGCAATCTATTTTAAAAATATCAATATATAAATGAATGAATGAATGAAATAGGTTTTTTTATTAAAAACATTTATTCAAAGCGGATGAATAAATATTTTACAATAAACAAACCAGGGCCACCCAAATTGATTCTTTGCATTGTCGCATTGTCGCTTTGTCGTCGATATGCACTCAATTACAAAGTCATTGTCGGGTTCAAAAAAACATACAACACTGCATAGGACATAGAAGCTGAAAACGAAAGGTATTATGGGGAATGATAAACTTAATCTCCGAGATGTTTCATTTGATATAAGACTTGACATACCCAGTCGTTAGGCTGCGTACATAATGTTTGGCAGGGGGGGGGGGGGGGGGCAGGGGAAAATTTGAAATGTCCAGAATAATTTTTAACAACCCCCCCCACCCTCTGCCATACATTATGAACGCAGCCTTATCAAACATGTGTTTAAATCCCTCATGATTTCTGTCAGTGCAAAAATTTATGAACATTCCACGAGTTCTATAGCCATATACATCTAATGAACATACTTCCCTAGTACCATTTTGGTCTCAACTTCTAAATTATATATGTTTTGAACCTGACGATGACTTTTGGAATTGAATGTATYCTTTGATTTGGTAAAGACTGTAATCTTTTGCAAGATGAATTTCCCCCATGCCTTAACCCTTGAGAATACGATTCTTWTACCCCATTCACACCAAGGCTTAAACATGTTTTAAAGTGGTTTAACTAAACAGAATTGGAAAACTATCTACGAACACTGCACAATATTTGGTGAAATAATGCATGTAAACTATCCTTTGTCTTGTTCTGATAATATTTTAGAAAGTTTCATTATATTGTAGGTTTCTAGTTTCTCAATTTTTTTCCTAATGAAAACATAGTTTAACTAAACACGTTTAGGTGTGAATTGAATGGGGTATTATTGCTAATCGTGATGACGTCATTCAAATGTTTTGATGAGCCAAAAGAAAACAGGTTTTTCAATTCTTTAAACTCTTATTTCTCTGAATGCCTTTTCAAAACGAAAGGTCACCCCACCTCTCCCCCCCCCTCCCCCTCCACCCCTATTCACTCAGTTAAAAAAGACATTTTTTATCGCATAGAAACACGACATTTTCTGCTTCATGTCGACCCACCGAACGACAAAACGCGACAGTTTCGTTCGAGATACTGAAGTTTTCCTCAAAAGTCATTGCTAGTCTTTGTTACCACATAGAAAAGAACGGTTTTGGAAACAAGTTACAAATACAGTCATTCTAATACCTTTTTTCTCTAAAATTTGTTAGGAAAAAATGCGGAATTTTTTTGTCGTTTGACCGCATGATGACCCAAGTGGTCATACACGTGTCAAGTTTACTAGGCCGGTCACGTAGTTCACGATAGGTGCCGAGATGATCGACTTCTAGGTATTTAGTGCTCGTAGATAATTTTTGATTCATTCTTCAACAGCTTTCCGGAGAAAAATACAGTTAAATATTTTTTTGAATTTTGGCCTCACCCTCCGCACCGGAGAAAGGACATCAAAACTTGTTGCCAGGTTACGTGAGGAACAAGTTGCTGTTCCAAAAATATTGGCACGCAGTCTTAAGCCGGTCTTCCGTCCCTCTAAATGTATTTTTTTGGGCTCTTTTGATAACTGAAGTCACGCAAACTTCTTGATCTAAAATTATACTTAAATTTCGAGAACACTAGATTACTCGCAATTTTAGGCTGAATATTTAGCAGTGTTTAACAAAAACAAGATACAATAATTTTTTTAAATAGGATAATTCTTTGAAAAGCTTTGCTTTGCTATTAATCGGAATTCCTCAAATTTTCTACAGATTACGAATTTTGTGTCTTGTACATCTTTGATTACAAAACGGAAAAACGTTTTGCGTCATAAAACCAGGATAAATTGCCAACACCCCAAAAAACGTGCTCCAGAACTTGGTCTCAAATTTCAAGCTCTTAGCAAATAAACTTATTTTTTCCGGTAAAGCGTGCTTGATCGTAAATAAACAAGTTGTCAACATCAAGATCATTTTTCATATGGAGTGAATATATATACGAGTCTCTTTTGCCAGGATGCTAAATCATTTTCTGCAGAGCTGCAAAGAGAAGTTTCTGTAGAGCTACAAAGAGAAATCATTTCGACTGCGGAGCTGCAAATCATTTTTTGCATACGAAAAGAAGCAAACCCAAGGTATGTACTAGTACTTGATCTTCACAAATGATCGAACATAAAAACCATAGTTCCAACAAAACATAAAGTTTTGTATCGCTTATTTTCCTTAGTAGTTAAAATAATGGGAATACCTTTTTTGATTTTTTATATTTTAAAACTCATTTCATTAGAAAAACCGACAATGTTAATAACAAATCATTTCCAAGTTGAATTGTGTTAACTTAAACACATGAAAATGATACGAGTAGTCGCTACTGACCTAAGTTTTGTTAACCACGTTTCATTTCTTCCAGTAGTTAGGGATGGGGAATTAGGACAGAGAGGAAAAAAGTCCTATTCCAAAAATATGTTTAAAAAAAGAAAAGTTGACAATTCGAGAGACATTTTATTTTAAATTATTTCATTTGAGAGGATAGTTCATAACTCTGCAAGTTAAGCTAAAAGTAAGGAAGACCAAACGATTATTCTTTTGAAACTGTTAAGAAAAATAGTTCCCCCTAGCTGTATTATTGTTAATACGGCGTTATTCTAAGTCTTACTTCCCATGTGTAGACCTATTCTCATTTGCGCACGCTTCTATCTTCACTGTACTTTCCGTCACGCTTTTAGTTGCGTTATGTTCCTCTGTCACGCAAGGCGTTTCCATATCAAACAGCGGGGATGGAAACATTGTTCGCCTTAACGTTGTTCAAGATGTCACGCTGGAGAGACCAGGAACCAACCATAACTTCTTGAAATATCTTTTGGTCGGTCGTCACCCACAGTTCCCGCTGAAGCGCTCGCTTATTCAATTTGAAAACTTCAGCTACGGGAACTGTCCCGCAAACAAGATCCGCTGGGCAAAAATGTACGTATACTTTGTGTACGCACACAAGGCAAGCTGGCACTCCGTCACCCAAACCCCATACCTCTCTCACAAGATACAAGTCCACACGGTCAAGAGGCGTTGGGCCGAGTCACAAGCCACTAGTTCCAGACCCCTGATAGGACAAAGCTGGTCCCAGACCTACCTCGGCCTGAACAATCAAGATGCTGAGTCCAGTTCCCAGTCCGGCTCGACATACATCTATGCGTACCGCCCAAGAGGATTCGTTGAGTTTGACGTGACACGCGCCGTGCGTGACTGGAGAAGTGGAAGAAAATCAAACTTCGGCCTTCTACTCAAAGTAAAAGATGAAAAGCGTAACGGAAGAGATCTACGCTTTGCCAGCAACGCTGATGCAGATCCCAAGAAACACGCTTTCATTAATGTCATGTGCAACTACTAAATTATAATCAAAATATATATCGGTGTAGCGATGACAACGAAATGTCTTGTTTCGGTCTTGTTTTATTATTATTATCATTAATTTGTGGCAAACGTTACTTTTTTTAAAATAAAATTATGAGGCATAAATCATTATATATTGTCATCTATGTGTTTGGAATATTAAACAGGAATCGACTTCCGGTGCAAAATACTTCCGGTGCGCATGCGCAACTGTTTCCGGTGAACAAAACTTCAGCCTGGTTCACATATGATCGCAGACGATCGCAGACGATCGCTCTCGATCGCTCGATCGCAGAGTCCACTCAACCGAGGATCTCAAATCGAACTGTTCACATATGATCGCAGCCGATCGCCGGCGGTTTGTTGACACCTGAGTCCGCGAATTATCATTCAGCAGTAAAACAAAGTACGATGCAGATTCAACATAGACTTAAGAAAATAATCGCTGGCAAATCAAAAAAGAAACATTCGACTTTATGATCGTGAATACTTCATCAGGGGAGTCATCACTATGAAGAACAGGACGTGCAATCTTAAAATATACCCCCAAACGACAGTTGTTTACTTGCCTATATGGCTTACAAACGTAAATTACCATATATAACCGTGTGTCGATACTTTTAAACCAGTTATATCTGAAAAAAGACTGAAAAGAAATGCTTTTTCGCTTGTGAAAATCAAAAATATACACGTGTTTTATGGAAAACTGAGCATTGTGGGACACCTTCCAATCTCACGATCGCAGAATTCTGTTCACATATAATCGCAAAAGATCGCAAACGATCGCAACCGATCGCAGGAATAGAACCCGATTCTATTCCTGCGATCGTCTGCGATCGCGATCTCAGACGATCGCAGACGATCGCAGAGCTGTTCACATATAATCGCACTCGATCGCCAGCGATCCTCTGCGATCGTCTGCGATCGTCTGCGATCATATGTGAACCAGGCTTTCTAAACATGTTTTTTYCCCCGTTTGCTGTACGTGACTTGTGAACCTAAAGATTTCTTTTTAGGTATCGTTAAAAAGTTGAGGGTAAAAGTTCTCTATTGATTTTGATCTTAATTTCCTCATGAGACCTCGTGTCATTCTATTTAGTACCACTTCTTTATTTACTGGTAACATTTGAAAGATGAATTAATACAAATCTGATGATAACTCGAGTTCAGCTGTGAAACATCCATCAAGTAATGATCGATGAAAATTGTTTTTCGACCTGTGCGTGCGTTAGTCAATATCCGGCAGAGAACAGTTCGCCCCAGTCTTTCGTGTTATTGTCGGAGACCATAAAAAATGCAGGCTCAATATGCGAAAATTTTACTATAAATTCACCTTGCAAAGAAAAATTATTCTCGTTCTAGATGTTATTGTATTTTAACGTTGTACTACAAATTAAGGCAGATCATTGGTTTAAATTGTTTTTTCCAATATACTCTAAATTCAATCAGAGCTGAGAACACATGTAAAATCCATAGTCGAGCAGCTGTTGACTGAAGCATTATTTTTCTCTACGCCCCGTTTGTAAATACACTGCAAGTGTTCCTACTGAAGAACGAAAACTGCTTCATTAATATTCCAAAACCCGAAGTGATCCTAATTTTCCCAGAATGTATTCAAGAATGCGCATCGTGTTTTCGAAAACTGCTTATAATCTAATAGAGGTCACGAGGTTCAAATTTAAGACTCCATTATCTGAATGCAGGCAAACACGAGCGATTCCTCAGTTTTCTGTCGCTAGAAGGTAATGCTTTAAACTGATTTATAAAATAGAAAATTTGATTTCCAACTTTATATGACCTATATTAATGATTATAGATAAAATAAAATCAATRATTTTAAGAAAAATTACTCCAAATATTTTTATGAAAATTTGCGACCTGGACGAATATTTTTATGGCGATTTGCAACTGTGGAAGTTCGATTCTACCTCGTATTAAAATCTAGCTTTGCAATTCATTTGAATTTTTTTGTCTATTTTTTGGTAATTTTTGAATTTTTTGTTTCACTAATATTCTGTCACACCTTGGTCACTCCTTTGAAACCTCGTCAAAATACTAGGTTGTAAAATTTTAAAAATCAGCACAACATTTTTTTATTGTCGATTATTCAGCTCTGTTTTATTACGATACAAAGTCTGTGCTACGATACTCGAATCCAGAGCCCGTACGAGCGCAGATAAATTTCAAATAGATCTTTAAAAAAACAATTGTAGCAATATAAAGTTGCATCTAAAAAAAACTTATGAAATCCCAAAATATTTCTAAATTTTAAGCACTTTTTTTTAAAACTAAAGAATGAAAAAAAATTTTTTGGTACCTTTTTCTCTGCCTCCGCAGAAATTCCCGCCTTCTTTGGTCGATTTGCCATCTTAGAATTAAGAAAAAAAGTTCTACGAACGCTGAGGTTTGCTAGCTCCACTAGATCTGCCCGTAATGACACAGGATTTCGAGCGACTCGGCTTCAAGGCAAAACTCCGTCACGCTAAGATACTGGGTGTAGCTCAACTAACCTTTATATTTGCCTATATATGTACAAGAATGCATTCGAATGAAAATCGGCAAAGCCCTACTGAAGAATGCGAGACCCGATAGGAAACTTAATACTTGCAGTGCTCGACTGTCTGGTTGATATATGGTGAAGTTTGTGGAGTGAAAAGAAAAAGTTGACGAAAGATCGAGGGGGTCACTGATTTGATAAGAATCGACCTAATGGCGAGACAATTTAATCGCAAATTCTTTCTCGGCTTTTACTAATACTTTTCGCACTAAAACGTGAGAACTTTAAGCATGTTTAAACCAGAAATTGAAAACGCCAGACAATTTCCAGGTAAAATGAATCGAAGCTTGACATGGCTCAGTAAGGAATTCCCGCAAATTCTCTCGTTAATGTTTTTTGATATTGTTTTGCTCCACCAAGATTCCAAAAATATTTTACGTTTTGAGAATTGTCGAAGACATTTTTTCATTTATCGTCTCGAAAATGTACTGATTTGAAGTTTGGAAATTACTTGGGCTTGGTTAGCTATATATAGAATGTCATCATCGCCATCATCGTTATCATTTCATTCCGTATTTATTGCTTTGACCTGTCCTCCGAATTTTGACTTTGCTAATTTTTTATTTTATTTTTCTAATTAGCGCGAATGGAAAATTCGAGTGATATCTTGCCCTAGTTTTCAAGCACCTTCCTAGACTAATTATTCTTTTGCAGAAATTAAGCTTAGCTTACTATAGAACATTATGTTTTCTAAATATTTCTATTTTCTGCATTCGTTCAGTTTATTCGTTAATTTATTCATAATCAGTTTATTCAATTGTTCATTCCTTTGTTTTATTCATTTTCCTTTCCCATTCGTTTTTACTTTTCATTGTCCATTCTATTCTTTCATGTACTCGTCTTTTCATTTGTGGGCATTTGAAGCTAGATTCACTAAATCATGTTGAATGCGACTAACATGGAAATAGAAAAGACTGCCACAAATGCCATCGAGAAAAAGTCTGATGTATTCTATTAATAGTAACATTATAAAAAAAWTTTTCTGTTAGTTTCTTGATAATGATGACAGAAATCTATCTGCGTTAGTTTTTCTGATTAATTTAATGACAAAAGTCAATCTTTTAAGTGACATTATTGCCTACTTTTCTGTAGTATTCTCTATCCCTCCATAGGTGTGGTCTGAATTAACATAAGAATCCACATACTGCCACAATCCAAATTGCAAAACTTCCGCTCTCGGGTCTCGACCTTATTGAAGGCTTAGCGTGTCTTGATCCTCGTAAATACGTCGATCAAACCTACGTTTACCACTCAACAAACCACTAAACCAAACAACACATCATAAACACAACACTTAAGGAATGCTTATAAGAACTTTATATCCATCCTACTCGATTACTAAGGCTTCCATGGTACAAAATCAAACAGCCAAAGGCAACAGGCCCAAATGGAAAAAATTGTGACTTTACGTAGTTCAGGGTGTAGCCTTCCTATCTTATCTAATTAAGAATGACAAGCTCTTGAATTAGGAAAATGATGAAGTATAAACTATGAGGCTTTTGGTTGAAGGTCAGCCACATTGATTAAACAAATCAACCCTTGTTAGTGAGTTACTTAGAGAAATTATATATGGAATTTCTTAGTTATCATCTTAGGGTGATGAGTGTAGTGGTTGATATAGACGTCTTTACCTCGGGGTGTGTAATGTTTTCCCATTACAGACTATTTGTTGAGGGCCCTAAAAGGGTAAAATGGGAACTATGCATTTAAAGAAAACGTTTGGAGTTTTTGGACGCTGGGAAGTGTAGGATTTACAAAAAACATTTGGGTGGGAAATGAGCTTGGCAACCTCCACCTCTCATCCCCCCTCAGAACCCACTGTGTTATCCCYCTTGAATGTATATACCATTATGTTGTTTTACGGTGTTGCACATGAAGAAGAAGACACATGAGTATGGATACCACTCAAATAAAGAATCTTATTCTCAAGAGAATGACATTTTGATAAACAGATCACCCCCTCCCCCCCATTGGTGAAATAAATGAAGACAGTGAACGGTCAGTGAACGGAGGAGTGAAATGAGCACCTTTCTAAGACATTATGGTCCTTTCCTTAGCGAGGAATTGGGTAACTCTGTTAGAAAAGTGCAGTCTTACCCCACCCCTCCCGTGAAAGGAATGAGCGGCACTCCATGCGGTCCCCTCCCCTGTCAGGAATAAGTGTCCCACCCATATAGTTTCCACGAACATATGCCTGGGTGCTTAGCAAGAAAGGAAGCCACCATATAGAAATGTAGACACCAGATGTTTACAGATCACTACAAATACTACAAAAGATCCTCACGAACATCAACGAATAGAAGCCATCTTTACTCACCTTACTAGAGGCTTCTGCCGAAAAGCCGTGCTTAGCTGGACGAAACGCCATGTGCCTTACCAAATTCTGCCTTTCGTTGCGCTACAATTGCAATCTACCCCGAAAAAATATTCTCTTTATAGCATTACCATCAAAAAGGTTCTTAAGGGCGCAGTTGGGGTCATTGCCATGGCAACGTGGATCAGTATTTTTTACCATTTATGTACATTATTGTAAAGGTATTTAATTTGTTGCACGCTAGACCTTGATGGACCTCAGCACACATAGTGATATGATATGCCAGCCCCAGACGAGCAGATGCTATCGAAACTTCTAGATCTTCAGAATCTTTGGATGTATTGAATTATGTTCAGGTCCAGTTGTTTGTTCCAGTCTCTCCTGTGCTTCGAGAGTTTTCCTCACTCCGTAAAAAATATAACTTCTAAACTTTATTCAATTTGATCTGATGTGAAATGCCACTGGCGAAAAGACACTGGCACTGGGCAAAATCGTGACAAAAAAACTGCATTTTTGCATAGGAGAATCTTAGGGAAAACCAGTTGCCGTAAACTGATATCACACGGATATTATATACCATTTTCAATATCATTCTTTGGTTCGTCGTGAAATTGGATCGTCCTGTAGTCTCGAGAAAGACTGTTGTTGGTGGTGACTGACGTTTCGACAACCTGAGCAGACTGAGTCATCTTCAGAGTTCAGTGAGAAAAAGTTTCTCACCTCAACCGTTTTCTCACTGGACTCTGAAGATTTCTGGTCTGAGGTTGTCGAAACGTCAGTCATCACCACCAACAACAGTCTTTCTCAAGTCTACACTCGCCCGGACGAACATATTTCACAACAAACTTCAACGCCTGGGTTCAAACCATTTACTCTTATTCTTTAGTTCTTGAACCAGGGCGGTTCTTTTTCGTTTTTGACCCAGGGAGTCCAATATAAAAATTAGTGGATTTCGAATTAAACGTACATTTATACAAACAATATGACGTCACGGCCACCATGTTGGTTTTTTGCCGACTGCAGTGTTTCTATGACTTGTTGCTCTCGAAATTAATTTTTTTAAGATATGACATAATTGCTGGTATGTGACGTCATGACAGGACAATGACGTCAATGACTAACGTCGTTTAATTGTTACGTCATCTATTGCTATTTTCAAAAATAGCTCTTGACTTTTTAAAGACTAGCGAGAAGAACCAATGACACCAATGAAACTAAAGATTTATTCCAAACGAAATTTATTCCAAACAAAGTTACATAATGATAAAACTTTATTTATACCATATTAGGTTACCATATTTGACTTCATATCGCTGCATTACAAATTTATACCAAATAAATGACTTAATCCTTTAATCCTAAGCAAACTATAACTATGGGTACATCAACAAATCATTAACCATGATGAATTGCGGGGCCATTATTGGTGAGCAAGCTAGGTTCTATATGAGCTGACTTCAGTCAACTGTGCAGATATTCTTCTAATAAAATTAAGACTATTTTAAGCACAGTTCTTCATAGTCGGGTGAACAAAAACCCGTCATTTTTTATTGAAAAAATGTCAAAGAAAGTAAGTTCAAATCTTCGTTTATTTGACGATRTTACTGATCTCCTCGGTAGCTTTTCACCCAGTCGGGGAAATTTCGCGGATTCCTTTCGTTTTGCTTGGGTCCAAAGAGAGGAACTGTCTTGTCGTATAGGTGGGCCTAATGGGAACGAATATTTCAATAGTTATAATCTCTTTTTTCCTTTTCTATAGCTAATAGGAAAACTGCTAGGCATAGACTTTTTCTTAGTTCGATGTACGAAGTGCATTGTGGTCTAGCTTGGGTACAAACAACACCATACAAGATATGATGAACAAAAGATGTTTGTACCCAAGCTAGGCCACAATGCACTATGTTTGATCTCAGATTGAAAGACCAATACATCATCGGAGTGCAGCTCAACAATTTGGAGGAAATAACGATAATTTTCCAATGTCAGGAGATTGAAATTCTTTTGTTTTGTCCTACAAATTGAGTTGCTTTGACGTCACATGCAAGGGGTCTATAGATTTACGCAAGAGACCATGAACGACACGTCCTTCGTGTTCTCTTGATTTTCATACCCATACTTCAAAGGAGCATGAAATAGTTACCAGTTCCCCTCTTTCAAGTGTAAACATTTACTGTGACGTCATACAAAAAACTGGACGAGACAGAAACTTACCCTGCGTGCAAAGGCCTGGATTCCTGTGACCACCTAAAAAAATATTCGACGAAAAAAATTATTTGAATCAAAATCAGCTCCCTAAAATATCTTAAGCCAAGGATCTCAGAGCCCGGGTTCCTTTTGGTCTTCGCCAAGTTCTTACTGCGCATGATTGGTTAACAAACTGAATAACCTAACCATCAGTCGAACCAATGACAGCTTTTAAAAAGATTGCGCATGCGCAAATAATATACTGTAATCAGCGACTGCGGTATTTTTGGTCTGCGCTTTCCAAGAAACATATTACGTAATACCTGGCCCATGTTCTGCCTTTCAAACAGATAGACAGTTGGGAAGAGCTCAGCAGGAATGCAGTTGAAGGGTTCATCTGTACACGCCTCAAGGAAGTTCTGGATATTTTCTTGTTTCTAAAGAAAAGATACAAAAAAGATATGGGAGAACCTCTTCAACTGCCACTTTTGTTGTTGTGTTAATATGTTAAGGTTTTTTTTTCTCGCAGTAAATTATACTTCTATTGAGCGACCAACCTCTACTCAGCAGCCAGTTGTCAAAGTCCTAAAGAAGTGAATGTATAGGCACTACATGAGCCTCTATTAAAAACCAGCCTCTTTTTAATTAGCGGCCACTCCACAATTTCAAAAAGTGACTAGTCAAAATAGAATTTTGACTGTAATATTTCATTTACATACATCATTTATTTGTTAAAGCAGGTTACAAAAATAGGCAAGAGTCCTGAAGTGTTCAGTGTTCTATATTTCAGTCCTTTCGATAAAGATAAAATCTGTGCTGCGTACTTACTTGAAATTCGTTTATCTTTTCGCCCGTGTGAACTTTCTTTATAGTTCCTGGGATGACTTCATTCACGATTCTTGAATTCAAAAAAGAAATGTCAGTGACCTTGCGACTCATGGAATTGTGGGTTAAAATCATGGGGGAGCGAGTGAGCTTGTCACGCATGGGTATTGTGTATGAAAATCAGGAGAGAGATTAGTAACGAGCTCGCCTCGCATGGAATTGTGGGTTAACATTGTGGGGGAGACTAGTAATGACCTTGTCACGCATGGGTGTTGTGTGTTAGAATCAGGAGAGAGATTCTCTGTTTATTAATTTAAAAAAATAATATTCTACAGTTAAGCGCGCAATCAAATATTCTTTTGTTTTTAAAGTCATGTAAAAGAGGTGAAAAAGGTCAAAGCAATGCAATGCCATGTGAACAAACCGCTGACAAACGAAATATCCGTATAAGGAATGTCATTATAAGCTGCGCGTGCAGTAGAAGTCGAAGCGATACAAACGCAGACCTGACTGAGATCTTCCATCAACATTATAATATTTTTTTCCATACCTACAGAGGAGGACACCATCGTCAAGTGCGTCAGCTAAAGCATCACCGGGCTTGCTGTACTCGTGCTCAACCCCCCAGTTGATGTTCTCTCCCACCATCATCTCGACCCATTCCCTGCACTGCATATCGAGATCCTTGGGATACTTGGAGCTGATCTGAAATACGATACAAAGTAGGTAGATAACGTATTAATCACATGTTTAGATGCTGCTCTCGAACCCCTCTTAAGGCCGGTTTAGACAAGTACGATTTTCGCCTACAACTAGCGTATACAACACGCTCGCGCCATCCTACAACTCGAGTCGTAGCGTGTAAATCAAGCCTACAACTCGCCTACGACAGACGCGAGCGTGTTGTATACGATCGTTGTAGGAGAAAATCGTACCTTCTAAACCGGCCTTTAGCGGACAATCACGGCCGGACAATTCGCCACCAGCTATTACCAACCGATCTGTTTTTATGCCAGTGATACTCCAGTGATGTTATTCGCCTATTAGCCATTCAGAGGTCGAGGGGGRAAAACTGGGTAGAAGAATGGCAGTGCATTGTTGGACTGTTKAAGGGGACATTTCCAAGATGGTATCTATTTCGTCACCTAAAACAGCCCCAATCTATGCCTTCCAAATCGATCCAGTTTTTTCCTAAAACCACATGAACTCGCTTTATACGGACACCCTGTTAATATTGAGACTTGTTTTTGTTTCTCTCATGTGAATCGCTACCTGGCTCTCTCCTCCCCTCCTCGGGTTTGTCCGAATCACCCCTCTCCCCCCGGGGGTTGTGGTGGAACAATGCGCTCACCAGGAGCCCTAGTATTTATTACTTAAAATAAATCATTAAATATGGAAACAAAGACTTGTTAATTACTATAAACATTGAGCTAATTAAAGTGTAAAAATTATTCTCTTATTCAATTACATTTTAAAACTTTGCTGAAGTCTAAAATGATGTTGAAAATGATGAATTTCTTTTTCATATTTACCACAAATATTCAATGTTGACTTACGATCGAGTAAAGTTTAGCTAGCCCAGTGTGACGCCTAAACACAACTTACTTTTATACAAAAATAACATGATAAACACCCAAAGAAATTTATATCAACTACTTGTAAATGACTAGTTACTTAGTTACATACTAGACTAGAGTGCAAACAATTAATCCGTGAAACACTAATTACTAAATAGTACAAAATAGTGCTAATTAAACAATAGAAAACAATGGAATTTGCATGAAATTGTGCTATTTAGTATTACTAAAGTTTCACGGTTATATCGTTTGCACTCTACAAGAAGATACCATCCTTAAATGCGTAACATATTTTTTTAAGTTTTGATTTTCAATGAGTGATAATCATTCTTTTGCCCCCTGCTAATAACCCTCAAGTTTTCTGAATTCCAAAAAGGTTTTCGATTTTTGAGTCGTGGTTTTCCACATAACACAAATTAAAAACACCTGTAATCATAAGAACGATAAGTTTTATTTCTGGCCGCACAAGAAACTTCCGAGGTCAGAAACGTAAACTATAAAGTACAACTAAAGTTAAAAATTCCATAACTCTGAATTATTTTCTGCTTGGTTAGTTTAATCTATTTGTTTATACTTTTAAAAGTAAAATATCAAGCTGAGAAGAAGGATTCGAAATGTTTGGAATTTATAATAAAGTTATATTATATGGTCGTATCGATGTCATCCTAAACTCCAAGAATGTTAGAACTTACATCAAATACTGGAAATTAAACAAACCTAAACGTTTTCGATTTTGTCTTCCGTACCTCCCCTCCCCTGTCATACTAAACTCCAAGAATGTTAAAACTTCCATCGATTACTCGAAATTAAAAAAACCAAAACGTACGAAATTCTAGAAAAAAAATGAACTTAATTAAGGAGTAATCAAAAATGCAATAAATAGCTAAGGCGCGCGTTTAAATAGTGCTTAGATCTTCATTTGAGAGGCCTTTTCCTTATAAAGGCTGTTCTACTGACTATAGTATTTGATAGCCTAAAAGCTTGGTAACAAAATATCCCTTTAGCACAGACTCTTTAAAGGATACTCACTTGAATGTCATGACCCTAGCTTCAGTTAGATTTACTAAATTGGTTATTTTACGAGGATTTTGAAAAAAAAAAAACAAGAAAAAACTAAACAAATCTTTTGGGTTTTTGTTTAATTATATAATTCCAGAAAGACACGCTTAAACAACCTCTCGGTGAGGGGCCAATTTTATGCAACTTAGAATTGTAAGACTTATAGAAAGTTTCTGAATATTTTTTTATGTATTCGTAACTTGTGTAACATGTCGTTGACAAGATATTTTCGAGGGAAAATATTTGGACATTTTGGATTTCTGTTGAGTAATTGGATGTATTGACAAGGGCGTCAGCTGGAGTAAATTGATTATTCCAAGTAATAGTTGAATGGTATTACCTTTAAAATATCAATTGAGTCATAATTGAACTGTGGAATCCCACTAGCTGTCACTTCGAAAATTAGATCTTTTTCTCAGGTTTTTATGGTTCGAACGTGGCTCAAAGGAATTTGAAAGCTTTTGGGGTCAATATTAGAAATAAGGGTATACTTGCATGCCAGTTAAGATGAACTAAATGCTTGCAAAGATAATCGTTTTTAAGAGAGCAGTTACCTTGCGATTCAGTTCCGCAGTCATTCCATAGGCCTTGTGCCTGTTCGAGCCTTTACGTTTGATTCCCGACATGGTGCTGGAGCTATATAATCGACAAAAAGAGGCAAGCAAATAGTGCGGGCTTCTTAATCCTCTCGGAGGTTTTACTCAGTGTGTTCGACGACCTCACAGCCAATCGTACTAACAGCTGTAATAATCGGTAGGGGGGATTGATATGACAGCAGATCGAGATGACCTATGGGAACCAAGCTCCGTTACGCCAGCCCAAAGACACATCTACATACAATACAACTCTGCAAGTTTGCTGAAGAAGTCTTTTCAAAAGTCCGCGTCATATCTTGAAATTTGACAGGGTCATTAATGGGAAATATCTGGAGAATTGAACAGATAAGGCACATTGAATTCATTTGAGATTATTTTGGGAGAAGAAAAACCAGTGAAATTTTATTGATGTGGGATTGAGATTTTTAAGAAATACTTGTCATTAGTTATTACTGAATAGAGGAGTGCATCTGTAGGTCCTCAAGTTTGACCTTCAAAAAGAAACTGTTTCAGAACTTTGGTTCATCTTTGTACGTACAAGGGCATGGTATTTTGAGAATGTAGTCCACGGTCATGGCTCATTAGCTTACGCTAATCACCACACTCTTGTGACTATTATTCGTTGCTACTGAAGCTATCAAAGTATCATATTAGAGAGATGGCCTGACTAATGGTTTTAGCATTATGAGACTATATATGGGAAGCTTGGGTTGGGGAAGGGCACCATAAGATCGAGGGATTTAAACGTTTTTTTCCGTATTATTTAGTCATTCTTTCTTTCCGATTTCATTCATTTTTCATTCGTTCATTCACTCTTCCATTTATTCATTTATCATCCATCCATTTTTTCCCCTTTGTTAATGGGTTACCTGTGGAGTGAAATTATGGGATAGAAGCACATGGTCGAGAGCGGAGAGAAGGGAGGTTGGCGGGCAAATGGTCGAACCCTTTATGATCCTTTATGACCCTTTATGATCCTTTATGATCCCTTTGATTCCCATTTGTGATCCCTTTTTTATTGTTGATCAATGTAAATCGATGTAAACAAGAAAAGGTTAAAGTAAAGTTTAAGATTGTTGATCAGAAAGGTGTTATTCGTCGATCAAACCGCTCGCCGAACGCAAACAACGTCACACCCTTTCTTCCCGTATGGGCTTCTTGGAATTAGATGATACATTGTGTCTGTAGTGCATATTTCCATACAAAATACTTTGCAAACTTTCAAAATTACACAAAAAACTCAACGCAATATGGATGAACGTGTTTGACTGTCAATGGGCATCCGTTCAGCGACATGTGGAAACCACGAAACCTTTGAAACTTGAACATTGTCTTTGTCGGTCTCAAAAGTCACATGATGAAAGTGTCTCAAAAGTACTAATCTGTTTGACCTTTAGTCAGATCCAATATCACTTATCAAAAACATCTCACTTTTTTGYAACATTTTAGCATAAAATTACTATTTATTAATATCAGAATAAAAATCAATGTAGGAAAGCTATTTATTCGGCGTAAAAAACGTTTTTCGATCCGACGATCCACTTAACCGACGTCCAGTCCAGTCCAGCTATGCACAGTTCCAGATTTTCCAAAAACAAAAAACCTCTCAAAATTCAGTATTTAGAGGCATAAATCAAATTCTAAAGGTTGGGTATGTTTTAACTAAGCATTAAGAATAGTTATACCCATTCAAAAGCTAAAAATTCAACAAAAATATTTTTGATACAAAATCCAGTAATCATGAAGTCAAATCGACGTAGTCCAAACAAATCCCTTAGTATGCACGATTCAAAAAACTATCTGATTGCTAAAGAATTAAACTGGGCAAATTTTGGCAGTCCTCAGAATGTTTTTTATCCAATTATTACCAATGTTTTTCCAATTATTTTCAATTATTATTAAGCGATCACAGGATATCCTCACACCGGCTCCCCTCTAAATTGGGCCCTGTAGGATCTTCAGGCTATTCGTTTCGTATTCCTATACATTTACCATTCATTTTTCCTTTCCCAATGAGCTAAAGTAAATCACTTTAAAATTAACTAAAAAATGGGAAGAAAAAAATTGCGGAAAAAAAAGTAGAAAAATAAAAAAATAGGATGTTGACTCAACCATAGCTAGAACATTTTTTATCCATCATTTTTGCCACAATTTCTTTTTGATAAATCGCCACAGAACAATTCCAAAATCAATTCTTTTCAAACATTTCCTAAAAAGAAACCTCTTTTAACCGGACACCCTGTTTAAACTGGTCGCAAGTGTCCGTATCTCACAGGTTTTCCAGACCACAATGCAAAGCGGTATTTGTTAAGGTGTCACTGACCAGCTGTGATTGAGGTCACGGGTTCTATCGAATAAACCATTTCGAAGTTTGATGCTCGAACTTTCAGAGTCCAAAATGTCGTTATTTGCGTGCACTTTGTGTCACAGTCGTCACCCATTTGAGGAACTTTCAAAAGGCGATCAACTTTGCAAGGTAAAGGGGAAAAAAATCTGGTATTTTCACTCGTTAATTCTGTTAATGATTCTGTCACAAAACTCAAATCAGCCGCCAAAACTCCTCGTAGTTTTGGCATTTTTTTCAGGCCAAACATTTACTAAGTATGTAATCAAAAAGTATATTAATTATTTTACTACATAATTTTTGCGAATAAATGACGCTCATTTCTCAGGAAGTTAATAAGATAAGCCCGATTTCGATTCAAGATTTACAGCGTTGTTGCTATAATCAGAAGTGCTCGCTTTGTTTATTTATAGTGATACGAAAAACACCTTGATGATCGTTCTCATCCCAAACATTTTCCAATAGTAGTTGAGGCAGTAGAAATGAGGATTTATTGAGCCGATCATAGTCAGGAATTGCCGCATTTATGCTTTCAAAGCTATGGGTGGTGTGCACGAACGAAAAGGGAAACGCAGGAAAGAAAACATCGAAGCATAGATTACTGTACATACTGTAAAAGAGTAAAAATATTGATTGAAAGCATTCGTTGAAAGGTAGTGATTTAGCTACAGTAAGGGACCAATTGTTTATTACGTCGTATGGGGGTTAATTTGTGAAAAAAAATTAAGTGAAATTTGTACCCCCTAGAATAAATTTAATAGAAAAATTCGCCCCTTCTTCATCATCATTTATCTCATATTAAATGCCACCTGTATTGCATCAAAAGCCTAAAACTGTACCCCCTATATTTTGCAAAACCTCTCCACCTATGATGCAATAAATTATCGGATCTCAAGGTCTCTATTGCCACAGTGACAATGCTCTAAAAGTCATATCCAAGTTATAGTTACAACTCTCTCACGGTCGTATCCGTCACACAATCTCACCTATTTATTACCCACGTCTGCCAGTATAGACCCCTCATATGTGGCGTCAAAGCAGCTCAATCTTGGGGTCAAAATAAAGGAATTCCCTTCTCTTGAGGATTGAAATCTTTTATGTTAATATGTTCAATTGTTTTGAACCCAGGCAGGGATTTAGTGCAAGGGGTCCATAGTGCTACTGTAGCTGCTTTATAAAATAAATCTCTAATATTTCATTTTAACAGAAATGTCGCAAGGCCCATCCTCTTGTAACATGTATTTATTGTCGCATGGAGTTCCATCTTTCAGGGTAAGCAAACCTCTTTTGCATCACTTATCTTGACCTCAGATTTTTCATACTTTATTGAATAGCAATATTGAATATCAATGTCTTGGGATGTGAATTCAATTCAACATTATCATTCGTACTTTTAGTGGGACAGAAGGAAAACCAGTGTGTAAGAAGTGCAATGGATATATCAAGAAGCATGGCCAGGTACATGAAGTCACACTCATTAATTAAGTAATTAAGTTGCTAGTGTTTGGCTGTGAGCACAGCTGATGTGCACTGCTATTGTGTCACCTCTTGCTAAAGCAACCCAGGCTCATAGTTTTTTTTTCCCTCTACAAAAATCAACCCTAATTTCTAACTTGTACATGTATGATCATGAAATGATCTAGGACCACATGCAGCTGTGATAGGAAATATTAAACATGCAGGTCAATCATATTTAAGGTGTAATTATATTTTATRCTCCTCTCTAGACTCTCTCTCAGTATTAATTTTATGACATTGATTAATGAAGCATTAAAAATGATTGCTGTTTTTTTAACTTGTTTTGATAGCCAACCTGCTGTGAGTATTGTAACATCAGGGCTGCTTTTAATGGAACTAAGTGTTCAAGGTGAGTGGATTGATTATTATATTCTTTTATCAAGTACTCTCTTTCAGCATCTATCCATCTCTCCAGCCATTCAATTCATCCCAAACTTGTAACAATTATTGTATAAAGTAGACTTAAACCTATTAGTATTTCTATGCTGAAATAATCTTCTTTTATCACAATATCAATAACCCGAAGGTGTGAGAGCTCAGAGAGAAAGTACGGCCCACCAATTGTCTGCGAACAATGTAAACTGAAATGTGCCTTCCAGAAGTCCGATGAATCTAAAGACAAGGTAACAATGATAGATCACTCCATGGGTTTTGATAATACTAGCAAGCATGGTGCATGTTGGTATAGCAATTGTAAACCTTATTTTAATTCAGTCCAGTTCACTAGTTTAATTTCAGTTTAGTTTCCCAGTGAGGTCAGAAATTAATTTTTCCAAATTTATTTCCAAGGGTCTTTTGCCTGGAATAACCTCGTTCCCAAGCACTATAACTTATCTATATTTCTATATCTTGTATTTCATAAGTGCTACATGGTCCACATATTCTCATCTTAGTTTAATTTCGGTTGGCTAAAACCATTTCAGAGCTTTATTCAATACTTTTTTCTAAGGTTTCAACCTTCAAATGCCAGCCAAAACCCCCATTACCCTTCACATGTACATGTACATGGCTCTGTTCTCAATATGCCGCACCCACCCAGCCTGGGATACTACTTCCTTGGTACCATATGCTTTCTATTCCCTGGAGCCCTGTTACGCAATCACCAAAAGGGCTTACTAACCACAGTTTACCCAATACAAGTCTCACTCCAGTAACTTATTTCTTTAACTCTCAGGTTGATGGTAAAATCCTTTGTTTGTTGTGTACACTGGCCTACAAGCGTCTTGTTCACAAGTCAAAGAAAGAAGGAGGGGAACTCTTACGTGGTAGTAATAGCCACAGTCATAAAAGAAGTTTAAAACGAGAAGGGTAAGCTCTATATTACTTAGCCTTGTAAATTGCAAATATAGCCATGGAATTCAGATTGCTGAAGTGGTRAATATATATAAACAGCATATTTGTACTGCGGTTGTAATGTATCAAATTGAGCTGATCCTTGCAGTATTTCAAGCAACTTATGCAGGTTACATAACAGCATTTATCCAAAGTGACCAGGCTGGGGGAAAAATCTAGACCTTGCTCATCAAAATGAGTTCCCGAAGCTAAGTTGATTAGAGCATCCAACTAGCAAACAGAAGTTAATTGGTTCAAATCCCACCTGGAGCTCTGAATTTTTTTCCCAAGAAAAATTTGCTTGCTTGATGAAACGCAATTCACATCTTAAAGCTATTTTATTGCTCAGTTTGGTTGTATTTTTGGTTTTCTAGCAGTCATCATCGCCATCATCATCATCACTCTAAACATGAGAAAAGATCCAAAACAGAACATAATGATGTTTCAGGAATAGGTGGTAGTGATGTCAAACCTCAAGGATCAGCTGCATCAGGAATGGGATGGGACAGCCCTGCCCTTGGACTGTACACTAACTCAGGAAACAGGTTAGTCTTGTTTGATGGTTTTACCTGTTTTACTTTGACCCCCCTTCCCCTCGATGCCCCTGCTCCTCCCCTCCCTGCTTCTCCCCCTCCCTGCTCCTCTCCCTCCCTGCTCCTCCCTCTCCCTGCTCCTCCCTCTCCCTGCTTCTCCCCCTCCCTGCTCCTCTCCCTCCCTGCTCCTCCCTCTCCCTGCTTTATACAAGAAAATTATAGAAATTGACATTTTGTTTTTACTTGAATTTGCACTTTCCACCTTAATTTTGAATGAGCAGCCTTGCTCAGCCTTGCAAGATGACTGGGTGACCTCATTTTCATGCGCTTGTCAGCCATTATGAGAACTGTGTGTACTTGAACAAAGATAGTGATGTCTGTGTTGTYAATCATGTCTGTGTTGTCACACACCACAGGAATCCTGGTAATAAATATTCTACTTATTTTCTTTTGTGACAGTGATGCTGGAGCTGAGCCTGTGATGTCAGACCACATGGCAGAACTGACAGAACTCAAGGAACTGGTATTACTAATATTGATTCTTGATAGACCAACGTCTTAGTATAAAATGCTACTGGAATATATTTATAAGAATACCTTACAATGCAACTACTATAAAATACTATAAAATACTATATACGACCATTTAGACCTGCTAGCAAGAACCAATCGAATTGTACAGTAGAATGAAAGCGATACATTCCACTTTTAAGTATTCAAGCCAATCAGAAAGCAACAGAAAACAATAATAGCCTTTCAACATTTCTTTTTATTCCCATGAGAAAATGATGATGGCTATCAGGGTCAAATTACAATTCTCATGAAGTCTAGGTTTCGGATTGGTTCCACCACCCAAAGTTGGAATGCATTGTATTCTACATTTTGATGAATTCTCTTGTCTAACTCTTGTCTAAGGTAGCACCAACTACAGTAGTTGCACTGAAACCTTTAGAACTGATCACTTCCTATGGGAATGGCTCTTCCACACCTATTGTACACTCTCACTTCACACAAACTTATATTTTTAATTCTCAATACAAAAACAATACAAACTCTCCCCCCCCCCCCAAATTACCACATTTTGTGTCCAGTAGGGGAATTTAATCAATGGTGTGTCTCATTAAACTGTAGTAGTGAGAGGAGAATACCAAACCACTAGAGTCTAATGATAAACTAATTCGGGAATATACCTTTTTTTCTTATTTTTTAACATTGATTTTAAGGTCGTAAAACTCAAGAAGCAGCTCCAACAAAAGAATCAAGCGCTAATCGAAAAAGAAAAGAAAGTATGACAATTTCTTTAATTTCTAAATTCTTACATGATATTTTTTTCTCATCAATAAATGTCAAAAAAGGATACATTCATTTGCATCTATGTGTGAACACACAAAACTAAAACATGTTCTAATTATTGAAGATATAGAAATATAGATAAGTTATAGTGCTTGGGAACAAGGATATTCTGGGCGAAACACCCTTGGAATTAAATTCAGAAAAATTAATTTCCAACCTCGCTCACTTATCTATATTTCTATATCTTCATGTATTTCATAAGTGCTATGCGGTCCACATATTCTCATCTTTGTTCCAATTATTGGTCACTGAAAAATGTTTGGCTCTTTTGAAATCAAACTGGCTTATTTCAAAAGGGCCGTGCGCTAAACACGAGCTCTCCGGTTGACTTACTCCTATGTTTCAGTGACCAATTAGAACATGCTTTAGTTTTGTTTATTCAAGCTTAGATGCAAGCAACTGTATGATAAACATAGGTTTTTTAACTTTGTTTTTTTTCTTCTCTCAGATGACTGAGCTGAAGGCTGAAAACTGGGAGAAGGAGAAAGAATTCAAGAAAAAGATTTTGTCACTACAAAGAGAACTTGGAGAAAGATTAGAAGCATTACAGGTAATATAATGATAATAAAATAATAATAATGATAATAATAACAATAATAATAATAATAGTAATTAATTATGATATAAATAATAAATAATGATAATAGTAATAATAATAATTATGATATAAATAATAAATAATAGTTATTATTATTTATAAATAAACATAAAATATAGTGTCTTTGAGGCTTCCGCGTTCAGACATGATATTAAAAGTAAGGTTACGGATAAAATGCGTAGTTTTTTAAAAACAGGACGTTTTGCTCTGTTTATGTACAGACACTTCACACATTTTCGTCATCATTCTGATGAAGGCCATCACTAGTTATAGCCAAAACGTCATGTTTTCAAAAAAATCTATGTGTTTTATCCATGATCTTACATTTAAAACATGAAATATATTTTTTCTTTCTCAGAATGACAATCGAAATCTTAAAAAGCAGCTAGTAGTTTCGTCAAAGTCAGGGAAGGACAAGACGTCAGACAGCTGACATGGTGGCATGTGATTCGTACGTCTGCATTCTGTAATGTTCTTGAATATTTTATCGATTTGATAACTTTCCAAACCAAACCAACCCAACCCATCCCTTCCTTTCTACTTCTTTTTTGCTCATGTCTATCCATTTATTATATACACTGTGTGCATACAACAAGGCAGAAAAAACTTATGTGCATAGTTCAAAATATTTCAAGAAAACAAACATGGCTCATTGAAAACGTCACATCCAACACAAAAACTGATTGAGTTTTTCAGGGAAAAGCATTACAAACATAAAAGTTCTACATACAATAAACCAAATATTAGGCAATTAATAGATTTAAATGCTATTTTTTCTTCAACTTTTAAGAAATTTGCATTTTTGTAGCTGGTTTTAAAATGTTTTTGAAACCATAGGCATTTTTTAATAAGAAGMAGTTAACTTAGCCAGCAAATATTTTACCTACAACCTGTAATTAATTTTTCAACCATGTTTGAGCATACTACAAAAAATCAAACAGCTTGAAGAAATGTTGCCAGGAGGCTAAAATGTTTTTAAAATTTCAAGTAATGCTAATTTATTCAAGCTTTATTTTACTCTTTTTCAATTAGTATATGTAATAGGACTCCATGCTGTCCAATTAAGAAATAATTGGACGAGGAAAATTCCAAGTACTTCCAAAATTGGATGAGGCTGTAGGCCGAATCCAATTTGGTAGTCAGAGGAATTTTTCAAGTCTAATTATTTCTTGATTGGGGAGCATGGAATCCCATTACCTATTAATTATATAGCTGCCTAATTAATCCCATATCAACAAAACCTGTCCAATTAAGAAAATAATTGGACAGTTACCTATATGGGATTAAATGAGAAGCTGTATAATTATAACTTTAACCCTTTCCCTGTCATTCTAGAGCTAGAATTATATTCATTGCTTTTAAGTCTTCATAAAGATGCAGAAATGAATGACTATTACTACAATTAAGAATGCTAGCATAAAATTCACAAGATTATGTACCAAAGAAAAGTGAAAGTGAAAATAGATAACGAAATAGGAATGAAATGAAAGGGAAATGGGAAAACTGCATAGCAAATGGGTGTCAAATAACGTTACAGTCAAACAGAATCTTTTTTTTACTTTTCAAAACCTTGGTGTGAAATCCAYTGTCATTTAGGAAGAAAGTAACCTTGATACTTTTAAATATAACTGTATAAATGTAACATATTAGGTGATTATTGCTAATATTCTTATAACTTGTTAACACTTGAGCATATTTTCCAGATATTTTTTCATTTGCAATTAAAACTCTTAGGAATCTGCTCAAGTCGTGACCAAAGAAATTGCAGGATTTTTTTAAAGAGTTTAAATAATAGACATTTATCATATGTTGCAATGATTCCCCCCCCCCCCCCCCCCTATGATAATAAAAACTATTGTTTAACCATGGAAGGCCATGCTGGGGAAATCTATTGTACCAGTCAACATGGCTGCCAHGTGATAAAGGTATAGACGCAYAGATGCCTTGTGGTCGTATTTACATTTTAGTTTTTCATGCTTTTAGATAATCGCAATCAATTAGAAAGTATGATTTCTACCTATGATATAACGGTTAGGTAGTTAGATAGGTGTTTGGATTGTTAAATGTGATGTAGGCTTGTAATGCTGGATTTCATTAGAGTTTTGGGCTTCCTGTTGACACAGGGATCCCAAAAAGCAAGATTTTTTGTCTACTCTGTAAGATCCTTTTGCAATGTAGCTTGCATGGCAGGCAAAGACTGGGATGAGTTGGCTTTGCAGTGCATTATGGACAGTCTGTTTCTTCTCCCGAAACAGTCCCAAAATTGACTGCAAATTAAAATCAATCCAGTTTTTTAATCAATATCAGGAGGGTTAATAAGGATTGGTGAATAGTTGAAAAGGGATGTCTTAGTTTTCTCTTCTCCTGAGCCCCACCCCTATGGTGAACCATTTACCAACCCAGGCACACCATGACTGCCATAGGCTTTGTACTGCATGATAATTTTTTGGTTGGACCAAAGGTTGGACGCCAAGAGCGCAGAAAAGAGGACTAGGCATTTCAAAAAAGAGGGTCCTAAAATACCACAGGGAGCCTAGGCGAGTTATGTAGGAAAATAAAGGCGCGCGCGAAAAAGATGTGTATTTATGACCGTTTTTGTTTTACCAACTACACAATTTTCTTTTTATTTGTGTAATGGAGAACACCATTTTAACCTCGAATTAAAATAATAATTAAAGTCGATTAACCCCCGATTTTCGATTTTAGCTTAACCTTTCACTCTTATCTAAATTGGGCTTCCTGTGCACTGAATACCGTAAGTCGGAGACAAATGGGTACGCTTTCCATGAATTTCCCCCGCGCCTCTCTTATGGTGTTTGCTGTTGGTTGATTGTGGTCACGTGGGTTAGTGCAATGTCTCATTAAGGATTGGAACCAGTGACTCTGTGACCATTCGAAAAGCAAAGAAGAGAAGGACGAAGTACTATTACCACAGTTCACAGAAGAAACTGGTCCAAAAGGAGGATTGGTACTAAAAGGTACTCTTTTTAGAGCCACATGCACGGAGCGCTTGGGAGTTTCTGCGATTAATTTTAGGGTCATAAAAAGGGTTCATACATTTTTTACTTACACTCAAAAGTCTCGACTTTAACACTTCATTTTCAACCATGTCCATGAGCACGGGTAACCCATAACAATTAATACTCCCCGAACACAGGTAACCCATACCAGTAAATCTAATAATTATTAACTAAAACAATGTTCAATGTCCAATAGACCCGTTTCGAATTTCAAATTACCGCTGTGTTACTTGATTACAAACTCATTTGCACATGGTTAGCCTCGAGTTTGTGCAGAATATTCACGTGTTGCAGTCAAGGTCCGTCGAGTTTCAAAGTGTATTGTTGAAGTTGTGCATTCCTTACTTTACCGTTGGTATTTGTGAATATTTAAACACTGATACGAGGCTAACCCTGTGCAAATGAGTCTGTAATCAAGGAACACAGCGGTAATTTGAAATTCGAAACTGGTCTATTCCAAGGCTCTAATCGTGACACCGTAAAAATTCAGTCCCTAATGTTAGCCGCGAGATATTCCAGTGTTTAGTTTTAAAATATCACTTTGCACACGTTGAATGACAAGTGAATTTCGATTTATTTTCCAGATCTTATTTTCCTTCTTTCTGTTTCAGAGGCAAGTGTCGTTCACAATATCTAAGAAGTCGTCAAACTTGTCATCCAACATGGCGGTAATTTACCACGTGATCGGTTAGTACATACCACTTATTTTGTGCGAGTCGTGTTCGTCAGGGATTTATATATGTATATTTGGGGGGGGGGGGTATTGTTTGAGGAAAACAAACTGACTTTTTTTCTTACTTAAGGTATTGGGATTTCTTTCTAAAGTTATGACGCATTTTACTCTAAACAACACTCCAAAAGCGATCGCTGAACTTTGATCAAAAATAGCGAGAGATAGAAAACAGATATCAAAAATCTGGGACACCCTTTTTGAGCTTATTATCTCCTGAGTATGTTAAGCCATTTTTCGCAAACATAGCTTAAAATGTACGTGTCCGTTAACGTTTTCACTAAGGCATGATAAAATTTCGCTTCGAGGACAATAATGTGAATAATAAAAAAATATCGTATTTTGAAGATTTCTTCATAAACTATAGTCTAACTATATTTATTCAGCTTTCAGAAAATGTATACTTTGTTTGTGTTATACTATAAAGCCAGCGCGTTATTTAAGTTTGCGCGCATAGTGGTCGTAAACGTATCCTAATACGTTAAACGTTTTTGAATTCATAGAAAACGTGCCGAAATGCTTGCATGCCATGATCAGATGTTTGTTACTCGTCTCCGTCCATCATTACTTTAATTAAGATTGTCTTCGAGTAAACGCGTACATATTCTTATAAAACTGTTATTTTTTGGACCACTGTCTCATGGTTTGTATCGTCTATCGTCTCTAGTAACACTTCCATCGGGGGCACTGTCCCAATGTCGACTGTATTGAAGCATTTTAAGGTCATTTCCATGGCACCACCGATAAAGGCGATTGATCCAGCCACGTAGAAGGCAGGGATATACGAACCCGTTTGATCTGCTATAAAACCTGGGAATTGGAATAGAATGACGTTTAAACAGGAGCAGAAATGCAACCACAGATCTTCCTTTTCCTTCCTTCTTTTCTTCCTTTCAAACTTCCTTCCTTCCTTCCTTCCTTCCTTCCTTTCTTTCATCCCTTCAAACTTCCTTCCTTCCTTCCTTCCTTTAATTCTTTTTTTCTTCTATGACCTTCCTGAATCCATTCTACTTTTTTTTGTCCGTCGGCCGTTTACTATTTGATCCTTCGCTCATTTCTTCACCTTTCTCTCTCTCTTTTTCTTTCTTTCTATTACCTCCTAAGGGTGGTGCCAAGAGGAACCCCCAAGATATGATCTGATTAAACCATCCATATCCCCGAGTCCTATTTAGCACATTCGTGTAGCGTGTAATCATGACTGAGGTCGCGGTCACCTGCATTCCATCAAACGTTCCATGTACACAACAGTACATATTAAGGCCAACAGGATCTTTAGCATATTGAATGAACATTATAGCTGTTGCTACGGTAACGATGACAAATGAATTCAAATAAATCAGGTTGATGCACTTCAAGTCACACAACTTGCCACTCACAATGCGACCAATTACAGTAGAGACACCGTATGTGATGTACAAATGACCGACTTGAGATAGAGTAAGACCAGAATCCAGTGCATAACGACCCTAGCGGTAAAGAAGGAAGTTTGGTTACTTTTCAAAATGGCTACCATAAACCTACCAAGAGGC